TTTGCGTTAGTCCATATACTTTAAGATCATTATTCTTTAACTGTACATAATCTATAAACTTATTAAGCATGTAAATAAACTGTATATTAAAATAATGTATATATATTGCGTTACATTAATTAACAAGTATTTTAACTTACTTCATTTAACATATCTAACAAACTTTGTGTTCTATTTAATCTTCTTTACATGATGGTATACGTAACTGTGTAAATTTAACTTCACTACTTACATATTTTGCATATCGTATTCCATCTAACCAGGTTGCTAAAACTCTATTACCAATATCTTGAATATTTACTAATCTATTAAAAGGAATCCATTCGATTACACTATTATAAGATGTAGCTTTAAGTTGAAATTCCTTAATGCAATCATCAATATCTTTATTCCCACTTGTCCATCCTTGTGTTATCTTCTGAGGGTCGCATGTTTGGCACCAAGCATAAGATGTGTTATATTGCTTGCAATTTGCACATGTTCCATAATGTTCACGTCTCTTAGAACCAAATTCATCAAATACTAGCATATATTCATCTGTGATTGTATTTTGAGTTAATCCATAGACACGTATACGCTTTAATTGACTATCTAATTGCACATGATTTTTAAACTTATAAAATAAGTTATAAACAATATAAGTATAATCATAAGTATAAATTAAGTATATTAATTATAACAATAGTAAAATGATATGAACTCACTTCTTTCAAAATATTTTGAATATTTTGAATATCTGCTGTTCCTGTCAATATTTTAAGTGTAATTATGCTTGCCGGTGTGCGTGACTGTGTATATTTATGTTCGAATACATGGTTATTAAATTTACTTTCATTTTTTACATATCGTATTCCATCTAACCAGGTTGCTAAAAATCCATCACCATTCTTTTGAATATTAACTAATCTGTTAAAAGGAATCCACTCGATCACACTATGATAATATGTAGCTTTAAGTTGAATTTCTTTAATACAATCATCGACTTCTTTATTTCCACTTGTCCATCCTTGTACTATCTTCTGAGGGCCGCATGTTTGGCACCAACCTGGTGATGTATTATATCGTTTGCAATTTGCACATTGTCCATTATATTCAGATCTTTTAGAACTAAATTCATCGACCATAATTCTAAGATGTTTCAAAGAATTAATCATCGTTTGTACGTACGTATATAAATATATATATTGTTGTATAACAAAAGTATGTTGCACAAATTTTTACATCTCATAGTTTAAATATATTTTATTATATTCTTTTATGAATATACATAGTATTTTAAGTCGATATAGCGTAAGTAAACTAAGTCAGTTTTTAAAATATCGGCTTAGGCGACTATAAATATGTATTATCATAATAACAAACTCATCGCATTATGAACAGGTATAAAAAGCACTTATAAAACTAAATAAATCATTAGAAGTGAACCAAATAATGCATTCTCATTGTAATGTAGTGAACAACTTATAGCAAGATGGGAAACATAAGGAATCACTTGATTATTTAAATAATTTATTAAAAATAGATCCAAAAGGTGCAAACGCATTAAAAAAAATCGTAGAGTAATATATTATCAATTAGGAAGATACGAGAAGTCTCTTACAGATTTAAATGATTCATTGTGCATGTAAAATCGATTCAAATAGTGCAGATGAATTGAGAAAACGTGGAGAAGCATATAGTATAATGAAAAGGTCGTTTGCAGATTTGAAAAATCATTAACGATCGATAAAAATAATGTAACGTGTTAAGGAGTTGTGGGTAACCTATTATATAGGCAGATATGAACATTCTCTTTTAAACATAAATTTATCATTAAATATCGACCCAAATAATGCGAAAGCATTAAAATGTCGTGGAGAAACTCATCGAACGACGAACATTCACATTCAGATTTATACAAATCATTAGCGTTGAATCCAAATGATGCAGAAGCAATGAGAGGTAATTATCGAATGTTAAGAAAATATAAAAAAATCATTTGAAGATATCCGAATAATGTACTTGTATTAAGAACGCGTGGTGCAACATATCGCATATTTATTTTGAATTACCAGCAGATTTAAATGAATCATTAAAATCGATCCTAATAATGCATTCGCGTTAAGAATTAGCATATAAAATCTAAGTCCTTGAAATATTAATGCAACTACATTAGTTTGCACAAGGTCTGATGACATAAACGATCGATATTTTTGCATCAACATCATATGGACTAATGTAGATGTTCGAGAAATTCTTAATGTAATAAAATTGTCCTTGAAATATTAGTGTATCGATATTATTTGACACAAGATTTAATGAGTTATTAAGATCATAAGCGATAGATATTTTTTTTAACTTGAATAAGTTTCACCTCGAAACATAATCATGTAAATGACTTTCATAAGTATTCGAAAGATTCTTTATAGTTATTTAATTTGTCCTTGGGACTTAAGTTCATCCATATTGCCGAAAAAATACGGTTTTAATGTTTTAATGATTTAGTTAAAGAATCTTCAAAATTAGGACGAAATGATTCTTTATATTACTGAAAGGGCGTTTTAGTTAAAAAATTTTCCAAATAAATTTATTTTACTATAGAATTGAGGCTGCTTGTCAATTTTAGGTATGAGTTCCTTATTCCTATTCATAATAAGTTGATCTGCTTTTCCTTTTGCCATTAAATTAAGATTTTCAAGAATTTTATTTATTGTTGGACGTTCTTTCGGTTCAGCGTTCCAACATTTCTTATAAAGTTTAGCGTATTCTGTTGGTGTTCCGGGAATTGTTTGTTCTCGATAACCTCCGAATGTTTGACAAAGTATGGAAAATTTATTCTTAGCATTTGCGAATGGAGGAACTCCGCTTGTAAGCTCCCAAAATATTACTCCTAAGCTGTAAATGTCTGATTTTTCATTGGGTCTTCTCCCAGGTTGGCAATAACAATATGGATCAAGGTATGCTGGCACGCCTTTTAAATTTGAAGTCGAAGATAAATAACTATCATCTATTTTTCTTGATAGCCCGAAATCCGCAATTAATAGTTGATTGTCATTTATTAGAATATTTTTAGGATGCTTAATAAAATTATTAAATAATTAATTTAAGACTTCAAAACAATAATAATAAGAATCAAAACAATAAATAAAACAATGCTTACTAAATCGCAATGGATTATATAATTATTATGCAAGTAATCCAACCCGGAAGTCACTTGTAGTGCAAATTCTATAATTTCATTTAACTTTATCATATAAGTGCCATCATGCCATTTATTTTGTAAATATTGTCGTAAGTGCCCTCCGTTAGCAAATTGTAGTACCAACATGAATTTATTTGTTTCGGGATCTAATAATAATTAATGTCATAAAACATTATTTAAATAATACATTTATTAAGAATGCAATATGTACTATATAATACCATGCGTAATTCCGTGGAATTGGTTGACGTTAGGATGAGGGCTAATATCATATAATTGTCTAAGCTATAAAATACAGAAATAACATTGAGATCAACTGATTTACTGATTTGGAAAATTAAATTACTTATTACCTCTTTAATAAATTCTTTAGACACTTCTTTATTCACATTATCATTTTCAAGGCTTTTCAATGCGAACATTTTCCCATGATATTCTGCTGAATAAACAACACCAAATGCACCTAGTGTATTTAACATTAGAAAATAAATTCAGAAGTTGTTAATTGTACTAATAAAAATCCAAAATTAAGAAATTCTTACCTTTTCCAATTACTTTTATATTTTCAAATGCAGAAAATCCATAATTGGCAATAATATCTTTTATTTGTTCGAACCACTTTGAATGACGGGAAATATTTAATTCTGTTATATCTAAGACAGGTATAGGTTTTTTTGTTGCATCTAAAGCTGTATCGAAGACATTTAAAATAGGTGTATGTTCTTTTGTTGCGTCTGTTGCGACTAAGACAGGTGTTGCATTTAAGATAGGTGGTGGTAATTCTTTTGTTGCATCTAATAAAGGAATTGCGTCTAAGACAGGTATAGATTCTCTGTTGCGATTTATAATAAATTGTATTGTTTCTATTTTTGACATTAAACTAAGATTCTCAAGAATTTCGTTTATTGTCGGCCGTTCTTTTGGCTCAGCATTCCAACATTTTTTATAAAGACTAGCAAAATCTATCGGAGTACCGGGAATTGTTTGTTCTCGACGGCCTTGCATTGCTAGATAAAATATGGTATATACATTAATATCGCCAGAAAATGATGGAATTCCGCTTGTTAGTTCCCAAAATATTACTCCTAAACTATAAATGTCTGATTTTTCGTCGTTTTTTTTCCCAGGCTGGGAAAGACAATATGGATCATGATAAGCTGGCTCGCCGCGTATAATCGAGTCTGAAGAGATTAAACTATCATCTATTTTTCTTGATAGCCCAAAATCCGCAATTAATATTTGATCATCATTTATTAGAATATTTCTAGGATGCTTAATAAATTATCAAACAATTAATTTATGAATTTTTTTTTTAGGAACTGGAATAATAAATCAATTGATATATACCAAATTACAATGAATTATTTTATTTTTGTGCAAATGTCCTAACCCGTTAGTTATTTGTCTTGCAATTTGAATAATTTTATCGAATGAAATTTTAAATATGTTCTTATGCCACTTCTTTTGTAAATATTGCCTTAGATTCCCGCCATTGGCAAATTGTAGTACTAGAAAGAATTTATTCACTTCATGATCTAATTAAATCATAATTAAGAAATATTATTTAAAGAATATTAATTTAGCGTACAATATATTATTACAATACCACATGTAATTCCGTAGAATTCAATGATATTGGGATGGCCATTAATAGCATATGATAGTTTAAACTATGAATAATATTAGATTTAGATAACAAAAACTAGACATTGAAAAACAACGAGTAATGCATCACCTCGTTAATAAATCTTTTGTTCACTTCTTCATTCTCCTTGTAAATGACAATACTTTTTTTCAATGCGAATTTTTTCCCATTATAATCTGCCGAATAAACATTACTATATGCATCTTCTAATATTTTATCATAATTGTCAGTTTATTAGGTTTTGTTTATTAAAAATAACTAAAAGACTTTACCTTCAATGTTTTTTATATTGTTGTATGCAGTATATTCGAATTTGGTAACATCATTTTCTTCCAAAAATTCTCCGAGCCATTTTTGGTACTTGCTTGAGTTTGTCATTTTTTTTCGTTTGGATCGTAATAGAGATAGAGGACTCCTTATATTTTCTAAAAAATGGAAGCACAATATCATAAATGCCCTAGTACGTATCACCAACCTAATTAACGTGTAACGTAAAATCGATCTTCTTCCGGTGATCTTTTGATTATAGCGTAGCTGTTCTCATAAATTCTGGAACAGATTAAAATTTTACTCGTTATACGAAATCTTTTTCTGCTTCGTTCTGTAAATTGCCTAGTTCACTGAAATTATATCACTATTTCCGGACTGAAAACCCGAAGATAACGATGTAATTCTTCGAATCTTCAGCCAGAGACAGCGATGTAGTTCCCGGAGAGTTAGGTAATTTACAGAACGACAATGAAAAGATTTCGGGTAACGAGTAAATTTTTAATTGCCCTAAAATTTATGAGAACAGCTGTAGTTTGTTCAACATAATAATTATAAATTATATAAAATATATATATTATATACAGCATATTATCAGAGTTGGTACAGACTGGTCAATGATCAAGCTTGACTAGACCAGTTTAACCAATTTTACCAGTTGGTCAAAGGGTTTAGTATTGGTCAAATGATATTTAAAATATATATCTATGTATATATATTTATTTTATATATTAAAATTATTTATTTAAGGGTAGAGGGTAATATATATAAACTTAATTGTAATTTTTTTTTATATTTAATTTTATAAAAAATTATATTAAGTAAACTAATATTAATTTATAAGAAAAGTTTGTAGAGCAG